AGGCTATTCAAACTTTATCGCTACTACTGAAAACTACAATTAAATAGTAGCTTGTTACTAAAGTAGTACTCTAATATAGAACAGTCAATTATGCTTGTAGAACCAAAGTATTCAATCGTAATGAAATTACATAATTATAATTTTTCTTCAATAAAATTATAAGTTTATGATTTGTGCGCAAATAGACCAATTAGTATGATTATGAAGTATGGGACCCTTGTGTCCGATCCAATATTGTTTTTACAACACAACAGCTTGAATATATAGCGTAAGAAACACAAGTTTTAGGCTATTTCTGAGCAAACAAAAGCGCAATTAATGAGGCGAACGTTCAATAATTTACATTCGTTGAGCATTACTGCAGAATTTTCATAGCGTTTAGGTGAGGATTAAATGAAGTATATTCAATTAACTATTAACAAACGGTTGATGTTGATGACGATGGAATTCATTCAATTATTCTTTGTAAGTTTTGCAACATCTTTCTGCCCTATTGTCAATTTTTAACTTTGTGGTTGTGAGACATTTCATTCATTTGTTCTCTATTTGGCGTATAGTCCTCCCGAAATTATGGTAGACATTAGATATGTAAGTTTTCTTGCGTTTCAAACAGGAAAAACTTCTTTCCATCCGAAGCTTTTGTATATTTTGCAAAGAAATCGGAACTGCTATTTTTCATTTCGGATAAATGCTTCAAGTCTTGTGAACATTATAAATGACATTTTACTCTCGTTGGTCGGAAAATTAAACTTTTAGCTTCAAATTCGCCACCCCTACATTTTGATGCTCAAGGATTCAACCTGCTGCTAAATACTCAATTAAGAATCATGACATTAATCAAGAAATATAGCATTCATCTAAGAAATGATGGTTTGTGAAATTTGAAAACTTTATCTCCACAATACAATTCGAGTTGGTAATCAATTGACTGAATAAATGCACAGGAAACCGTCTACATTAATCAGATCAGTTACGTCTTCATAAATGTCATTATTGTTTCTTTTGAACTTCGACCTCTTTGTACATTTTAATCGTTTTCACCTAAGCTTATTAAGTATGTGTTTACAACAATCAGTTGCCCATTTCAATTTTCCCAACTGAAACAACCTTGGTGTACTGACTTAATTTGTGTTTGAATGACTAAACTTCTAAACTTCAATAGGATCAAATTAATCTGATTATAATAAAATAAGAAGCATATAAGAAACAACATTTAGAGCTGACTGATACATGTTTAGAGTAGTTAGCTGATTATCAAGAGTATTACAATATTGAATTCAGAATACGTTATTATTGTCTCGAGTGTGACAGGATTTGATTGTGGTGGTAGGTACAATGATTCCATTTTTGGTCCAATCAGTTAAAGGCTTATTTTTTACAACACCAAATTCGTTGTTTCTGGGAGAAATTCAGCAAAACACTTTCAAAAAAATTAAAATACAAGGTCTATTCAGACCAAAAATTTTTCTTTGTTATATTGGCATACGTTTCTCATATGTTGAGATTATTAGCCATTTTGGATTAGTAATGTGTTTTTGACAACTGAAAAGGTGAGCACCTTTTTGTGTGTTCTTCGATTTTTTACTTTTGAATAAAATGGATCAAAGAATTTGTATTAAATTTCGCGTTGAAAATATATCAAAGTCCTCAAACGCACTAAATGTAAACTGTGGCACTATGAGAGACTAATTTGTCTCTAAAAAGTGTTCATATTATAAGTGGTACAAGCGCATTACAAAGGGCCCCCAAAGATTTTGATGACGATGACGTTGCAACCCCGTCAACAAACGAAGAAAACATCGAAACAGTGAATAAAATGGTAGTGGAAAACCGTCAAATCGCTATTGGGGAAGTGGCAGAGGATGTTGGCATATCAATCGGCTGATGGCATGCAATTTTCTCGGATGTTTTTGGCATGAAACGTGTGGCAGTCAAGTTTGTTCCGAAATTGCAAAATTTTGAGCAAAAGCAACGCCACATTAGTATCGCTCGGGAGTTGTTGAATGACGTCAACTATGATCCAAAAAGGTCATCAAAGGACGCAGCGAGGTTATATGGTTATGACGTCGAAACCAAGGCCCAATCATCCCAATGGAAGCGGCCAGAAGAACCAACACCAAAAATAGCACGACAAGTTCGAACAAATGTGAAGGTTTTGCTCACTGTTTTCTTCGATTACAACGGCTTGGTGCACCATGAGTACTTGGCAATAGGTCGTAGGGTTAATAAGAAATACAACAGAAAGTTATGCAATGTTTGCGTAAAGCATTACGACTTTAGCGATCGAAATTGTGGAAAAACAAATTTTGGATTTTGCATCACGATAACACACCAGCTCACATATCATTGCTTGTTCCTGATTTTTTGGCCAAAAATAACACCGTAATCATGCCTCAACCACCGTATTCACCAGATTTAGCACGCCTGCTACTTTTTCCTATTCCCAAAACTGATGAGATCAATGAAAGAAAAGCGTTTTACCACAATTGATTAAATAAAGTCGGAATCGAAGAACCAGCTGATGGTAGGGATGCTCGATGATCATCGATGTTGAAAGCAAGAACATTGTTTTAACATCGATGTTCGATATTCGATAAATATCGAACATCGATGTTAACGGAATCGATATCGATGTTAATTCAAGGCCTCACGCACGACCAATAGGGATGCTCGAAGGTTATCGATTTTCCATGAGCATCGATGTTGAAAGCAATGTTATTACATCGATATTTGGTATTCGATAAATATCGAACATCGATATTGGCCTTTCGAAAAAGTGCATTTCGAAGTGCTTCGAGGATTAGAAGAAGCGCTGGCATCAGTGTATTTATTATATTATATGTGAAGGGGATCACTTTGAGAGGGAAAAAATTGATATTGATGAATAAATCAATACTTTCCGAAAAAATTTGAAATTCCTTTTTTTCGAACAAGCCTTGTACAGCATGTCAAAACACTCAGTGAACAAACATTGAGAAAGAAAAATTATCTGTGAAACTTGAATAATATCATATTCGGATTTATATAAAGTTCTTCAAAGTTAGTTTCCTCTCTCTAGCTGTCACATAAAAGTTCTCAATGTGCCTGGAGAAACCAGGACGAGCATGATCTGTAGAAAGCTGACAAACGTATATTTCGATACAAAGTACTGCGATGTAAATCTACTTATCCGATTGTAAAAAGGAATAAAACCATTCAGCGTTTCGCGAAATCGAGACCAGCAATTATATTTTATAAATATATTTATGTTTGACATGAGCTTTGACATAATAAAAATAAATATGCTCTTTTGTTCGGTAATATCGTATTACATACGCGACTACAATAAACGGAATTTCATTCGATTATCGTCGACAACTTGATGGATGGATTTTATATGGAAGGCACGTCTGTTTGGAACAGATAATGTGTCCTCTAAATATCCCTCTTTTGCTTACACGAGAGTCGAGAACCTCGAGATCTGGGATCTGGGCACGACACGCCACGAGATTTATTATATCAATCTTCGAGCATTTTTTTATTCACAGAATTAATTAATTTAGAGCAATTTATTGCGGACTTCCATCTTTTTAATACGATTTCTTTATCACACGTTTCCGGTTATTATGCTGAAGTGATTCCTCTTCACGCGTTACATCTCATAATACCAAAAATGACATTTGACAGGATAAACGTCAATTCGATAAAGAATACAACCTCTATTGAATTTTAAATTCAATCCAATAACCGATCTCGAGTGAAACCGAATAATTCGAGAAAATCATTCAGTTTTTTCCATTGAACCAAAAAACTGTCCCTACATGCATTCCAAAATGGTAAAATGAGTACACATAAAATACACATAGAAATATAAATAGGTATACGAAAAAATTCATTTATTCATTTAAAAATATTCAGGAAAAAGAATATTCATTCAAATGAAGAATGAATTAATTAAGAAATGTAGAGTGTGAAAAATTCATGTTTCTATTCAACGCGCAATCAATACTAACAGTCAATCAAAGACTCCTTAGGGACAGTGAAGAATAGATAATGATTGTGTTTCAATTTAACGCAATTTTTGTGTTTGACAGTAGGGGATGTTTCAATAACGGAGTAGAATAAATAGCACTAAATTCTCCATCAGGGGTATTACGATCTTCGTTACTGTCACAGGCAGACCTAATTTTTCTAATAGTTACTTTGAGTGATATTATGGGGGGTGGATTCCACGCCCTTTACTCTTGGGCAATTACTTGTAAATTAATAGATGCGTTCGCCGTCAAAGCTTTGGACAGAGATTAACGATTTCCCATATTGAACGTTCAGATAGTTACAATGTTCCATTTCTATACATTATATACATGTAATATATGAAAGAAAATGTCAGAGCATGCATTGGAAAATTAAAAATTACGATACGTGACGTGCATCTACGATATGACGTCTATCATTCTTCAAGGGATAATATTCGAGAAAATTAAATCAATGTCACACTTGTTGTCTGTTTTGTGGTCATAAAGCTAGCTCAATTATGATATTATTTTGATGAATTCATATTTTTCAAATAAAATATCTAGTATTCTCCATAATATTCCAAAAAAATCTCAACAAAATTATGAGAAAATTTTTTGAATTGATATTTCACTGTTTAAAAAAACATATTTTTCAAGGAGGAAATATGTGGTTGATACATTTCAACTTGCAGTATTATTTTAATTTTTCAACATATATTTGTAATCAATATTCTTCATTATTTCAAACTCTGGAGGATTTTTTTCGTTATACTAGAAATGTTAAATCTATATATAATATAAAAGAAAATCGTGTTAGTTACACTATTTATAACTCAAGAACGGCTGAACCGATTTGGCTGAAAATTGGTGTGGAGGTAGTTGATAGAACCAGGAGAGACATAGGATATTTTTTATCACTTTCGCGTGGAACTTAACGAAATACGTGGTAAAACAAAACGCAAATGACATGGAATAACAAAACCTATCTGATTAAAGCAATGAAATGATGTTTTAGAGCAGTGGACAGCGTGTCGGACTTCTAGTCCAAAAGTCGTGGGTTCGATACCCAACAGGTTTACATTGGGGAAATTACTTTTTATGTCATTGACTAGATTCATTGGTACAACGAAACGTAATATAGGCTGAAAAAATTAATCTAATTGCTCAAGATTAATATTATGTCAGAGTCGAAGGCAGGAGAGTAATTGCAGTTGAACTTATCTGTAATAAATTTGATGAAGAGTTATTTACTGCAACTCAGTCACAGTAAATAACTCCGGTTTTTTCTTTGAGGTCATTGGTTCATTCTATCCTTATTCCTTCGATATAAAATTGTTTGTTCCATATTATATTAGCTTCGTGTATCATTTACATCTGAAGATGTCACTGTGTGGTGAATAAGAATGATAATATTATTACATTTATTCCCAATACATTTACACACAATTATTTATAAATATATATGTGTAATTATATATATTATATATGTATAAAACTGAAATAAATGAAAATATCACGATACCGCATTATGCTGTTCTAAATCACATGTCACAATCACTGACAGTTTATCAAAATATACATCACATCTACCACAACAAATCTTCATCATCTGTATAGAAAAAAGTCGTGTTAGTTACACTCTTTATAACTCAAGAACGGCTGAACCAATTTGATGGGGAGGTAGCTTAGAACCAGGAGATTTCATTGAACTTCATTATATCTGGATGTAATAGGATAATGAAATCCATAGTCCATTGGACGCTATTACAAATGGATATAATTTCACAGCATTTAAACACCAATAATGCCATCATAATTCACTTTCAATATTGTGAATCAGCCCATGTTTATGTGAAAGGTACGAGAACAAATACAGAAATCAGTACGTGCATATAATATATGCATTAGTTAAATAACCTTAAACTAAATGTAAGGAAAGTGTTATTAAATTTTCATTATTTATTGCCTTGTGGATGTCATTTTTCGATGCTACTCAGATGAAACACTTGATAGAGTGCCATGCTGGTCGTCTTTTTAATCATTCAATTCTCTGATCCAATTTAGCTAATTGCCCTTTTATTATAGCTTCATCAAAAGTCTTTTTTGATAACCATCATAATCTGAACCATGAATTAGATTTAATGAGTTTTAATAATCGTGTGTTGGTTTTGAAATCTTGAACTCGTCTGTTCGTCTATTTCTTAACTCGATGAATTTTTGATTTAGCATGCCTTTTTCGGCACGTGTGAGAGTCAAATATGTGCAGCAAATTAACAGGCAGTTATTCCCTGAATTAATTTGAATATGTTGTCCTTCAATAAAATTGATATTTTATCAACAATGAATTATTGTGAAATTTCTGAATCGATTAATTCCTCGCACAACACTTGGTTATTAAAAAGTAATTAAATGTAATAAAATAATACTTTCGTAGCAGGTACAATAATTTCCTTTTTCATCATCACTTCAAATTAATATAAAACTAAAAATTGTAATTTCATTGTATATCTGAATACCTTCCTTTATTACCAACTTGATTTCAATGGATTTTTTATTAGGTCTTCTGCTTTCTTCATGTAATGTAAGAAATAAAATAAGAAATATAAATAATTCAACAAATGAGTATTTTTGATACAGTGATCAGATATACTAACTTTCTTTTAGGCTTGATTTTGTGTATTCTTCTTCTCTTGTGCATATGTTTCTGAATGTAACGTGAAATTAAACTTCATTAAAATGTAAGAATTTTGAAATATTTTACAACTGTATATTTTCATTTAGAAACCCTGACTTCTTAAAAACAGTTCGGTTATTTTTCAAGATTTTTTTGAACGAACCGAAATTTCCTTCATTTCTACTGATATTTCCTAAGAAAATATTTATTTCGTTTCACAAATGTCTCCAGAAAATTAACTGCTGAAAAATTTACATACTCCGCTTAGTTTTTATAGTAGACACATGATGATGCTGCAATTTTCAGAAACTATGAAACTATTAAAGATTCTTGAAATAACACAATGAATAACTGCTTGAATTTCGGACATATTTTGAATGAACCATCAGCATAAAGAAATAGGGAGGATCTTAAACGCCGCATCATAAAATGAGATGATAAAAATAATTTCTAAATAAAAATTATACATGGTTCATTCCATGGGATGTGATTTATTGTAGGCTATGTCTCTGCAGAATTATCAGAAAACTTTTTGAAAAGCAATCGTTTCTTCGGAATTGACAAAATTTCAAAACAGTATGTTGTTGGTATCCAAGATATCAATATTGACGACAAAAGGGAATGTTCTATTGGGTTTTTGGTGTAATTTGTAGAAACCAATCATCAGAAAACATGATTGATTACAAAGTTGGTAGGAAGAGGTTGTATAGTCATCACTTTTTCCAGTAATCAATAGCAGAATGGATATGCCACTACCAAATTTCTCCATAGTCATCACGACTGAATGGTGCACCATCTTTTTTGCTACGCAGTTTTCAGATTGGCGCAAATCTCATACGGAAGTAGAAATCAGTCTTTTACATCAACCATGTAGGTATCTATTTATCCGTATCGTTATTAATGATCGACTTCCAAAGAAACAGACGTTGATTAATCATCTCATATGTTTTCGATGTTCAGGGGGTGATTAAATCTGTGTTATCATCTTATTTCGTATTGGGAACATTTTGTTAAAGATGAAATCAATAACCGACCCTTTATAAGTAGACTGCACCCTCAAATTCAAAAAAATTTACTCACTAATACGTCGAATCGTTTCTGTAAAGTTAGCAAATAAAACAAACAGTAGATTCCCAAGAAGCAATCGATTAAAGACAAATAATTTCACGAACCGTTTTCGTTGGTTTGTACACTTTGTTTAGAAGTAATTCATGAAATATACAATTATATAATAATAATTGAAGGTCTTTATTTTGAAAATCCTCTGCGGAATCCAGCATTGCTGATCTACTTAACAGAACATTACGTTTTGTTATACCCATAGACGTTAAAAGGGACTTAGATCAACAATAAGTCTTTATAGCTAAGAGGGTGCACATTTGAGTGAAAAATATCGGGAAGTAAAAAGTACTAGGGAACTATCCCCAGTTGAACTGTATAGTTACAAAAACTGAATAGAACACATTGAAGTAATAAATAACACAAGGAGTTGATACAATAGACGTAAAGTAATAAGTTCAAATAGGAATTCCATTTGCTATATCAGCTTCTTTGTGAAATTCTTTTCAACTTGACACTTTAATAATAATAATGAATAATAAAATAAAATGTATTGAGAAACATTCCTTACATTGTAAAATTACATTCATTCAATTGATACAATAATTACAACTAAGAAGAATGCTCACAAAAGGACTGAATTCAGTTTTGAGTCTGATCTTCCATTCAGCCCTCGAACAGAAATATTGATTCAAACAATAATATTGGTTAAATTTATATTCACAATAACATACAACTTTATTTGAAAAAAATTTAAAAATTACCTCAGAAATGTTAAACGTTTGAGACAATTTCACATGGTGAAGGACATTTGTGGCAAAAAAATATACAAAAAATTAATTCATACATTATTCATTCGAATCTACATTCATATGCCTACATTCGAATCATCGAAGTACTCTGCCACACTATAGTATGCCTTTTTTTAGAGCAGAGATTCAACTCTCCTCTTAAACAAATGAGCTTTCAGTACTTTCAAATTCGATGGTAAATAGTTGAAGATTTTAATATTCTGATAATAGAGAGTGCTCAAATTTCGCTGTTTTATGCATAGGAATCTTAAGTAGCACATCACTGTTCCTTGTTGAATACTCATAATTATTATTCAATTTAATAAACCTATCTTCAGTTTCTTTAACATGTAACAAACATCTATAAATATATAAACACGGTAAGGTGAGTATATAATTATTAATGAAGATAGGTTTACAAGATGTTCGTTGATGAATATTGAATATTAATCGAAGTATTCGCTTCTGTGTTGTAATAAACACCCTATTTATTTCTGTAGAGCTACCCCACAGCAGAATATTATAATTTAGATGACTATATACAAGACTGTAATACACATTCATAACACAGTTTCTAGGTACGATGTTCTTGATTCTAGAGATTGCAAAAAATGAGTTACTCAATTTTTTACATAAAACATCAAGTGATGTCCATCTCAAATTTCTATCTACATATATTCCAAGAAACTTTGTTGCTTGAGATGATGATATAGTTTTGTCCCCATATTTAACATCCAAGGTACTAATTCCATTGCCCTTCAGACAAAAATGAACACATACAGTTTTGTGAACGTTCACCATCGGATTGTTCATTCGACACCAATTTACAAACTCCCTCACAATGCATTCACATGCCTCCAGAAATTCTTCAGGAGTCCTGCCAGAAACAACCACTGATGAATCATCGCCAAATAGAGTGACCAAAAACAGGGACAACTTCGCAGGCAGTAAATAAATTTCTTTATTTTCTCTGCCATTTTCTATATTACTCAAATTTCAGATAGATTTACAAATCTATTTTTTTGCATATCTAAGAACTAATTTTAAAAATCTATCATGACATCGTTGATGTTGGAATTCTATTGAATATGTCATATGTCAAACGTCAGTATGACAATATTATTTTATAACCATAAAATATAAAAAATATATTCATAGATATCCATGATTAAGTTATGATTGGAAGTAAACATTCAAATTGAATCACCTGCTGACAGTAATTTCGTATTGAAATACACACAGAAATTTTCTAATTTCAGAAGTTTGCATTGTCAACTGAAGAAATGTGAGCACATTTCTAATTAGAAATAATGCATCTAGTTTAAGTCCGAGTATCGAGAAGTCTATAAGTGAGATTTGCCGCGGCCATTTAGGTTCTCTGGAAACACCCTGTCTATAATTTCTCAGGAAGCGACCAAGAAGTCGAATAATCCAGTCAGTCGATGTGTATCGATTTGACTGAAGTAATTAGAGTTGCTGATAGTTTACTTTGGCCAGAACATCAGTCCGCGTTTTATACGTACATGTAAATTGCTAAGGTTATGCAGAGGTTATCG